GCCTAAGAAATGAAAGAATGCAACTGCAGCAACTTATTAGGTACCGGATATCTTAATGTCGCTTTTCTGAGTTGGGGAAGTTTTGGGGCCAATACCATGGAAAATCAACATCTCTGTGTGTACCAAATGCTTCAGAAATTCTTGCTGATAGCTACAACTTCCACCCACCAAACCAACTTGCATTTGTCTTTCACAACTATCATTTAAAATGCTCATTCGCTTTTTCACAGTTTTCTCAAAAGACAGTGAAGTCTTTGAAGTGATGCCCGCAATCGTCGTCAAAAAGGGTGGCCCTAGTTAAATCAGTCGAGACGGGGCTGCACCAGTCTTGTGCTGAAATGGTAGGACACCTTAGCAGTGACTGATCGATGATGCACAAACGCTTCTAACGAAGTTGATTGCACAAGAAATTCTAATAAATGTGCTCATCTGCTACTCACGTGTGCTCAAAAAGGGTGCGTTTTTGACCCTATGTGGCAAAAAAGACTCCGGGAAAAATTGTCCAGTTGAGCTGGTAAGTAATAAATTTTCCACCATACAGTGCAGACCCTACTCTAACTAACTGTATACTTCTTTTGTCCAGGCCTAACTTTTTAGCAAGTGAGAGGGATGATTTGTCAGATGATGTCAAAACCGACCTACCTCTCTTTTTCGACTCAAAAAATTCCTAGCTTTAATCGTACGAGGTTTCCACTCATACTGGTAAATGGGAAAGTGCTAATGAGTCGTTTTGCGGTTTCGCGAGTTTCTACGTTTGGATTGCGGGCCCATAGCCAACCGAAGAGCGGAAAACAAGTGCCGCATATTAAAGGGCTTGGCGCGTGGGCAGTGTGTGCAGGGATCTCCTGTATAAATTTGCATGTTTTGCCGGGGGACGCGGACATCCCTTAAGCCCAATAATCATCGGCCTATCATTTTTTGTTTGATTTGTTTGTTTTGAAGGGCACTTTTTTCATCTTACGCTAATCAAACTCGATAACGCTTCTCGCGGGATGGGACACGATATCCCAGTAAGGGGTTTTGTTCGTACCAGACCATTCATTCATTGATGGGAAAGGGCTCAATGCCGAGTGCTTCGTGATGTTCAGTTGAATCAGTTTTCATGTAACGGTGAACCTTTTACGTTCAACAGTGTTCCGGTGTTCTGGATCCTTCGGCGCCACGAGACACTGCTCATTATGTAACCGCTTCATTTCTCCTTGAGCAGTCTCTCAAATGATTCAATTGCGCTATATCGGCCTATGGGCAAACTAGGAGTGGGAAAACTTTTGCTATGGGCGCGGAGGAAATTACAGCCAGCATGAGGGGTGTGACTAGAGGTATCGTCTCTCATCTGGTTGAGGCAATATTTCCAACAAATCATAGGATCTGGTCTGTCATGTTTTAAGGTGTTTGTGTCTATGCTCGGTAATATATGATGAGAAGGTGCACGAGCTTCTCCCCGACGGAAGGGGAATCTTTTCAAGTCCGTTAACGCTGTGGGATCCTGGTAATGCGCCGTGGGAAAAGTGCGCCCTAGAGATTAAAGTGACAGTTTTTAGGTATAACGAGTTTCGATGCTTCCGCGCTAGCAGCCAATTAGGATAGGTTAGGACGCGTTCAGAGAACGGGAAAAAGACTCATAGGACGTCTAAGATATTCTATTGTTGTTCGTTGTTATGTTATGTTAAATTAATATTGTTTGTCGTTTAATTACCCAAGTTTGAGATAAAACGTTCGTGGATCGGTGTGCTCTGTTCATACGCGTGGCAGTCGAGAACTTACCTTTCAGGCTCCCCTTTGACACCGATCAGTGTTATAAGGCAATCTATATGAATAGATTGACGATTCTGCACACTCAAATTTGGAAGCCATTGCATGGTCGCCTACATAACCGTTAAAGTTTCGATATAATATGATGGCAGGTAAACACGAGTGATATCATTCGACTCTCTGCAAATATTTGAAACCTTTATGCCCTGATACGCCGAAAGAAGAGCCCTAAAACGACCACTTCGAAATAGTTATAGAACAGTCAGTGGTGTGTTCTTACGTGCCTTTGTCATTCAATATACTGCGCCAGCAAGAAGGAAGAGGTAAATTAATCAAATGGTCAAATCAGGACAAAACAGTCTCCAAGATCAGTACGTGATAATAGCGGTATTGACAACGGAACAAAGGCTAACCTGCTCGGAGTGCGCCATGCATTTGACTCGCGGATGCATCACAATAATAATCATCCAACTTTCCCGCTATTGATAATGCCTGCAACGCAGCCTACAATTTGTAAGCAGAAGGAACGCCAGTTATTCAAAAAATGATCCTAGGAAGCAATCCCTGCAATCCTTTGCGTCGCTGACAGGCGGTCTGAGTAAAGTTGGCCCTAGGAGAATCTTTAAAGAGCGCTTCTAAAGACAATCCTATTTCCGTCAGAAACCATGAATGATACTATCAACATATTATAGCGATGCTATTTCCCGTACAGGTTATCCCAAGTGTCAACAAATTGGCGTGGAGGGGTTCAAATTTGTTTGAGTGTTTCCGTAAGAAAGCTTTCTGAAATTGGGATACCGATGTATAAATGATGATGACGGCTGCATCCATTACTGTACTTTTCCGAGGTATCCGCTGCAATTAAGAAAGAAAAACCATTATAAACAAAATAATTGATACGGTTCGTTTGCGGCGGCCAATTCTGACTGGTAATTTCCTTTTCGATACATATTTTGTGAAAGAGAGCCGCAAACAAGGAAAAATGATTTCAAAAGCCTATGTTTACATAACGTCACCCGATCCATAGACATTATATTAACATGTCACAAATTACCTATATTGGAAATATTATATAAGGGAAGCGGGTGGAGGGGTGGCAGACCGAGCACTGCATCGGCTTTTCAGCTAAGTTCTTACTGGCTGAGCGCTAGCTTTACCCTTCCTTTTGCCTAGCTCTTCTTTTCTTCCTCAAGTCCCACTCAGGTTATCCTATTATAAAAACTAGTCTTACAGGATGAAACTACTTATACTCCTCCTCTTTGCTGCAACGGCGGCTCACGCATGGAGGGAGCTCTTCCATCCACCATTCCTGAAGGGTCTCAGCCGGACTGCTCGAGACGAGTACTATAAGATCCTTTTCAACAAGTCATTGACAATCGCTGAGCAGAAGGAGCAGATCATGGCCTGGGCAAAGAAATACAACATTCAGGTATGACCACGATTAGCCGTGCTCTCGAAATTAGAGAAAAGGTTACGGTATTTCAGGGACCAGTACAGACTTTCTTCGATAAGAAGGCGAAGTTCACGGAAGAAATGATGCAGAATTTCACGGCTCTTGTCAATGAGTTGCCAAAAGCTGTCGCAAACCTGACCAAAATAATGGAGAACAAAAACCAGACGTTTTTAGGAATGATGAAGGCCGTACACGAGTTGAAGGCCAAAAATCCAGCGGTGAGGAATTTTATATGCACTATGGCTTCAGAGCTCCCAAAGATTCTCTGAGTTGATTTGGCTAGAATTAGAAAGCGATTCAACATTTTTCAGGTTTACAGAATTCTGAAGTTTGCCATGGAAGAGTCTATGCATGAGCATGGTGCACACGACCATCCTTTTGGTCTACCTGATCCACCATTTCCACCACATGATGGTCCTCTACCTTGGCACGGAACCTGGGGCCAGCCTTGGGAGAGGAAACTGGAACGGCGGCCTTCCAGGTGGATGGCCCAATGGAGGACAAAACGGTGGGCTTCCCGGTGGTTGGGCGATGGGAGGAGAAGAAGGCGGAACTGGTTCATTTGACCCATGGCAAAACGGAGTTCGTCCTAATGAACCTGAAGAGTTTGGGCCAGGTCAAAGTATGTTACAATACCAGTAACTTTAACTTAACTTTAAAGTTAACTTTGCTATAACAAGTTTCTTCTGTTAATGTTGGATGTCCGTGAAAGTAGTATCCTTTCATTGGTATGTTTCAGGATTCTGAGAAGGCGACGTCCGAAAAAAAATAGTGCAGCATGTGATTATTAAACCCTCTACTGACCAACAGCAAGGCCTGAAATAAAAGTTTTGAAAATCCATCATACTTTTTCGTTGCCAAAAACACTTGTACTGAGATTTACATCGATTGTATGACAACTCGTTAAGTTCATAGATGCGTAAGATCCCGTGATGCTTCCCGTGACTAAACGAGGGAAGAAATAAAAAAAGGATAAAGCATTTGCCGTTGATCAATCCCTTTTTGGATGATGCGGCACGCATTCTATAATTACTTCCATTTGTACATTCGCAGTGGCATTTGAATGCGATGTGGCCTATACAATGACTTGCGGGGGCCAGCCGATGTTCAAGTCAGTGTTTTTATCCTCCCAGACAAGTCTGGTACCAATTAACCGACCCCGGAGGGATGGAAGGCTTGGTTGGCCCGGGCGACTCACGACCCAGGATTTGATCCCCGGACCGCTCGCGTGGTGAGCGCGCCACTTGTCACTACACCACTTCCGCCCTCACTACCACTTCGAATAATATAATAAAATATAATAAAAACGGGGAAGAAATAGCCCTAGAAATTTTTGATATCCCGACACAACACATTCAACAGCCACCCTTCTGTTCTTATGGTCGGCAAGGAAAATATAATAAAAATATAATATAATACAACATATAATAAAATGCAATATGAAAAAAAATTGATCGATAAAGCTCTCGAAAAACAAGAAGAATGAACCATAGTTTTGTGGTTCGTATAGCCCCCCCCCACCCCCCTTCACATATAGTATTGCAACGAACCATTTTGGGAAATCGCACCTCTGAAACACCTTCCTCATCGCTGGCTACCTCGGGTTTAGGAGAATCGCCGACATGTGGAGTTACCCAGGAAGTCATACAAGAGCGTGAACGAGGCCTCATCGAACGGAAAACGAAATTTAGGTACTTTCAGTTGCTTCGAGGTTCTATCACTGATTACTGATACACTACTGGTAGTGGAAAGGTATTTAAGGATTCTAATGTTTCCAGCACAAAACCCCTCAATGAGCTTTATAGCCCTCTCTGAGCTCACAGTACATTACGGGTTTCGTATGTAGGAGTTACGAATTGTAGTGATCAGCGGGAACATGTGAATTACACTGGAGATGGCGAGCTTGATAACAGTACTCGACCTAAGGACAGTCTGCCTTATCTTAGCCGTTGGCAGTAATTTAACGAATTCGTAAAATTAACAGACTCTACGATATCTTCGAATTTTTATTGAACGGAATTGAGCAGCGTCAGGTGAAAATTCTGTTCAGTTACGAAAAGGAGCATCACGAATGGAGGAAAACGCTGCTGCTCAGAGTCGACATGGTCACTTCATTCACGAAAATCTGCAAGGTACCAATTTAAGCGAAAGTACTCTCCCTCTTCTGAGTGCTTCCTATCGAACCTTTAAATTCTCGTGGTCCTCTTTCTTCGCTGGAGTCTTTGCGGTAATCGCGGCCATTTTCACCTCGTCGTCTGTCTCCATGTCGGTCATGTTCTCTATCCCAATGAGGCCGCCTCATGTACGCGGCGGACCATGTGACCATGTGGACATGTGGCATAGTGCGAACCATGTGGAGCGGTTGATTGGACCAATTTGCTGGACCGTCGTGGCACCATGCTCTGGCATTAAACTGCATTTCAAACGCGAACCTCAGCACATGGAACGCCTGCAAAAGGAGAGCCATTCAACTGAAGATAGGCTTATCCATGAGAATCGTCGAAATACTTGAAGAAACATTTGAATCGAAGACATAGTAGACCATTTACCTCTGGATATGTGGCGGTTAGCCTGTGTACTCTCTCATCAATCTCTCGATGAGTCGAGTTCTCGTCTTCTACCAATTCTGAGAACTTTTTGAAAGCCCTTGGTAAGTAATCAATAAGCTTTTTGACATGCTTCTTCACTTTTTCCATGTGTTTTTCGAACTTTTTCACTTGTTCCTGAAATGCTAGCAACGGTATTTTCCATGAATAGAGTAAAGATGAGCTGTTTCAAATATTTTCATGGTTTGCTTACCTCCACATCATTTGCTCTCGCCCATTTCTTAATCTTCTTCCTTTTGCTGACCAATTGTCAAAGCATCATCAAATACGATTTTAAAGTACTCTTTTCGAGCTTTTTCACTGACATCTTCCAGGAATGGCGGTGGTGGGGGTCCATGAGGTCCGCGAGGTCCGTGAGGTCCGCGAGGTCCAGGAGGTCCAGGAGGCCCCCGAGGCCCGGGAGGTCCGCGAGGTCCGTGATCTTCACGACTTTCGTGAGATTCGCTACTTTCGTCCACTTCCGCCCAATATAATAAAATATAATAAAAACGGGGAAGAAATAGCCCTAGAAATTTTTGATATCCCGACACAACACATTCAACAGCCACCCTTCTGTTCTTATGGTCGGCAAGGAAAATATAATAAAAATATAATATAATACAACATATAATAAAATGCAATATGAAAAAAAATTGATCGATAAAGCTCTCGAAAAACAAGAAGAATGAACCATAGTTTTGTGGTTCGTATAGCCCCCCCCCACCCCCCTTCACATATAGTATTGCAACGAACCATTTTGGGAAATCGCACCTCTGAAACACCTTCCTCATCGCTGGCTACCTCGGGTTTAGGAGAATCGCCGACATGTGGAGTTACCCAGGAAGTCATACAAGAGCGTGAACGAGGCCTCATCGAACGGAAAACGAAATTTAGGTACTTTCAGTTGCTTCGAGGTTCTATCACTGATTACTGATACACTACTGGTAGTGGAAAGGTATTTAAGGATTCTAATGTTTCCAGCACAAAACCCCTCAATGAGCTTTATAGCCCTCTCTGAGCTCATAGTACATTTACGGGTTCCGTATGTAGGAGTTACGAATTGTAGTGATCAGGGCATGTGAATTACACTGGAGATGGCGAGCTTGATAACAGTACTCGACCTAAGGACAGTCTGCCTTATCTTAGCCGTTGGCAGTAATTTAACGAATTCGTAAAATTAACAGACTCTACGATATCTTCGAATTTTTATTGAACGGAATTGAGCAGCGTCAGGTGAAAATTCTGTTCAGTACGAAAAGGAGCATCACGAATGGAGGAAAACGCTGCTGCTCAGAGTCGACATGGTCACTTCATTCACGAAAATCTGCAAGGGTACCAATTTAAGCGAAAGTACTCTCCCTCTTCTGAGTGCTTCCTATCGAACCTTTAAATTCTCGTGGTCCTCTTTCTTCGCTGGAGTCTTTGCGGTAATCGCGGCCATTTTCACCTCGTCGTCTGTCTCCATGTCGATTATGATCTCTATCCCCATGAGGTCCGCCTTCGTGGGGACCATGTGGACCATGTGGACATGTGGCATAGTGCGAACCATGTGGAGCGGTTGATTGGACCAATTTGCTGGACCGTCGTGGCACCATGCTCTGGCATTAAACTGCATTTCAAACGTCGAAACCATTCAGCACATGGAACGCTGCAAAAGGGGCATTCCACAATAAACAGGTAGATCATCCCTTATGTGAGTAAATTATCAACAAAGGCAAAAGATGTGGCGTCCTTGCAATTGGGGAGTGCGCGGCAACGGAACCAGGAGCTCGTTACTCAGTCGTTTAGCCACCTTGCAATGCTTGAGCCGCCCACCATCGCGAATACAGCACCTGCGTCTCGCACGTCCCTCTGCTCTTTCGTATGCGTTTCGCCAGCAGCTCAGTGGCTCATTCCTTTGAAAGCGAAGCTTCTATCCCCAGCTTTTTTGTCATTTATTTTCCTTACCTCTACTCAAGCCGTCTAACGCAACTCCGCGTTCATTTTCAAGCTCAGTACCCACCCCTGCAGAGTATGCCTTGAATTTCCTTGGAAGTTTTGCTAAGCCTGTGCTCTCGCCACACGCACGCTAGGAGCCATCCCATCAGGCGTGCGGGCCACCCACGCGCCGTGTTCGCCTCTCTTTTCCCCTTATCAAAGCATCTGGCCAAGTGTCCAATCTAGATCAGAAAGCCTGAGCTACGAATTCTGTCAAAATTTGAGGTACTCACCAATCCTGGGTAACCGCTCGGTTTTCGGTAATGAAGTGGCAAGGATTCCAAGCACAAACGTTAGTGACATTATGTTCGTCAAAGTCATTCCAAGCTGAACAGATATATTGCTTAACGGCTATATCAACAGTAAATGAACTATTATATGCTATAGTTGAGCTAAACTGGGTTGCCACCTTTTGCAGTACATTAGCGCAACGGCTTAGGTTCGGTCCTTCAGCATTACTATTTTGAGAATTTTCTATTTTAATGGGCTTATTTCAAAAGTCGTGAATTTATCCTGTGCTAATGAATAAAAGGATAAAGGATAAAGCATTTGCCGTTGATCAATCCCTTTTTGGGATGCGGCACGCATTCTACTTCCATTTGTACATTCGTAGTGGCGTTTGAATGCGATGTGGCCTATACAATGACTTGCGGGGCCAGCCGATGTACAAGTCAGTGTTTTTATCCTCCCAGACAAGTCTGGTACCAATTAACCGACCCCGGAGGGATGGAAGGCTTGGTTGGCCCGGGCGACTCACGACCCAGGATTTGATCCCCGGACCGCTCGCGTGGTAAGCGTGCCACTTGCCACTACACCACTTCCGCCCTCTATGTTTTCTAGTGGTTTCAGGTTTTTCCCAAGCCTTAAAGAATCAGGATGTTCAAAAGAAAAAATTTCCGAGGTCACCATTGATTTTTTCTGGCAAAAAAAGGAGAAGCACGGAAAACCGTTTCGGCGAACACTTTTGACCGCTACTGTATTTAGTTCAGCGCTCGAGCACTTTGAAGACCGCTAGTTTCATTTCTAGATGAGCCAATATCAAATATTTATTAGGAAACCAACTTTCTTCACTCAAAGCCACTATTCGCTAAAAAAAAAGCTATTTACACAAGCAATGAACGGAGCACGAAATGAATTAAGCTAGGAAATTGATTGATTCCGTTCTATTTAGGCCATGCACTCTACTTCCATTCCATTGACAGTCTTTTTATCCTCCCAGAAACGTCCGTCACTGCTTAAGCGACCACACGATGATGACTGGATGATGATAACTCATGTTCATAAAGGAGTGATAAAATGTAGCGATCGCCCTTAAAGGCAGCCATTCACGATAGGTTCCAGGAGGATTCAAGAGAGACGAGTTGGTGCTCAGTAGTAGCGAAAAAAGCAGAAGAATCCGTCAAGAAAACGACCTCCTTTTTTGGCCGTTGGTTTTCACTCATGAACAGGTAACAGCTCAGAAAGCGGACGTATGAACGAGTTCACCGCAACGCGTTTGGTGGCACCATGCCAAACCACGCTCCAATCGAGTTGCTCCAGTTGTGCCGCTGCTGGCAACGCAGCTCGTCCAAATCACCAACTAAACTAGTGGGCGGATCGCTTTTGGGGCGGAGTGCTTTCGAAGTCCTGCTCAGCAACCAGCGCACCTTTCGTCGTGAAAGCGCCACATCTCGCTTCCTTGGCAGCCAAGTAACTGCTTCGTGTGGTGCATATGCTTCCCCGATGCGCTCCTCTTTATCGTAATCGCTTCCTTCAAGAAAATTGCCCCAAACATCCATGTCCTGTGAAACTTATTTCGTAATTTCAGCAACTGAGGAGAGAGGAGAAATGGCTTCAGAAGAAATCGCTGCCGAACTTCCAATCTACGCCCAGCCTTCTACTTTTCGTCATTGTGCAGTCGAAAATGGGGTGGGTTCATTCGATGAATGGTTCTTGTAATAGATGTACAGCCCGTCCTCCCGACAAAAGAAAGAAACACTGTGATTATCAATATCAATGACGAGACACAAAGTTTGAGCATCGAAAATTAATAGGGTGGAGTTGGGTCAAGCATCTGTCATCTGCCATTCTGTATCTTTGCCCACTGCCTAGAGATGGTATGCCAAAGGAAAACCAGAACTAAGGTTACAAAGTTACATTCAAACATCGGCTCATTAGACCAATTCCTTCCATGAATACGTCTGCTGGGGCCGGATAGATTCATGCTCCAACTCAAGTCGATAGATCCGTGCTCCAACTCAAAGCTAGTGGAAATGCCTTATGGTTAGGCTGGTGTCAGAGTCCGCCATCCGTCACGAATTGTGCAAGTAACGCGACGGGTCGCGGATTCTTACACCAGCATTAGGAGTTTAGGAACTGGGTCTACGCACGCTCTATGGATCAGTGCATGCCCAGTGTTTTGGTATGCGTGTCTTGTTCTATCTGTGCTCTCTCATCTTTTCTCTTCTTTCTGGCCGCACTCTTCGCCTGCTTTAGTGAGTCTCGGTTAGAAAACTGCGTCTGTGCCCCAGGACTCTCCTACTGCCGCTACAAGAGTACGTGGATTATTCCGGCGGACGTTTCCAATAATTTCATTCGCTTCATTCCTCACTGACAAGTGGAAATTAAAATATTCAATCTCTGCAAGTACCTGGTAGATGCTTTTTGAACGGTGATTGGTGCGTTTGGTTCAAATTTAGATGAAGATGATTTATCAAAAATGACACCTTTTCGTTCTCGGGAGTGAAATGTGGTTTTGTAGAGAAACCAGGAGTAAAAAACCACGCTGTCGAAGGCACGCTGTCCTTGCTAGGCTGATAGCTATGGGTTAAGGTAAGTGCGAACAGCTGAACAGGGGCAGGGAAAGTGTGAGCGTACCACTGTCCTCCATGGGAGAGGATCGGCTTTCATAAGCAAGTTGGAACGAATTTGTCGCGTATTTTTGCTCACATACAATCTTGTGGATCTGGGCTATGTCAGCGTCGCGCACTAAGCAGCACGAAAACAGCGAAAATTCAGGAATAAGTTGGAGTTAACCCATCCACTTCTACGCTGGACACCGTTGCCAGAGAACTCAATCGGCTCAATAGTGAAGAAATCTCGGAAAAGTAAGCGGGGCTTCAGAAACAACAGAATGGCCAACAGCAGGTGTTACCTTTGAGAAAGGGATCGAATAGGGAGTTTCGTCGGAAGCGGTCAGCCGAGATGCCCATGCGAAAAGCTAGGTAATAGTCACCTCCCTCACAACCTGCGGAGACTGAGTAATTGAAGACTGAAACTGGATATTGCTATAGTAGAGTTACGACAAGCATGACCAGGACTCATTTCGCTTCCACCCAAATCCACATAACTTCACCTTGAGACCAAGTTTTTTTAGTCGCTCGCCAGTCGCTTCAATTTGCATGCACGTTCACCTTTTTTTTAATATGTCAAGTTGCCGAGCTAGGGGATTCAGTACATGCATTTCGTTGAAAATCTTACGACCTCAGGACTGTCTTCATAATTTGAGAAAAGTTTACCCAGGCGCGGGTAGTGCATCCAACCCATAGCGTCTTTGAACTCTAATGGTTAGCGCAGTTGCGTTGACGTTGAATGCATATCAAACGTCTTACCCAATCCACATCTCCTTGTTCCTTTTGTGCCTAGGAATAACAGGTAACACTGATTACAATAACTTTACAGCCCCCCCCCCCCTGGAGAGGGTAACACGGCTGCAGCTCCACACCCAAAATTTCTTCACGCGAGATCTATACAACCATTGAAATAGCAAATTTTACACATTTGAGACTCTCCTACATTTTACACTCTCCTTCCATTTGAGAAACTTCTTCCATTGGTTCTTTTTCTTCTTTAAAGGACGAATTTACGATGGAAAAGCAACCCATTCCAAATTGAGGTAGAGATGGTGAGTAGTACCAGAAAGAAAGCGAAACCACGAAAAACGGCCCAGAACCGGAGAAATGGGACCCCTTCCTTGTCCGTTGATTTGAGCATTGATGGGACTCTCATCGCTTTGCCCTCTTCAACCCTACGCTCTCTCAGCTATCTAATCACTCGCCACCTATTGAACTACGGCGAGTGATCAGACGATCGGTGGGCGGAGATCGCCGAACTCGCCAACTTTGAGCCATGCTAGATCTCAGAGGTCAAATCTTTCGATGCCGATTGCGTGTCTGTCCGCACCCTCAAGAGATTCACCGCTCTCCCCACTAGGCGATTTCTCCCTTCTTCGACCTTCGTTCTTTCCGTGCAATCCTCCTTTAAAAAAAAGGCCACCAACGCACGGTCCCAAGCCACCGAATCAGCAATTTAAGCTTCCCCCCCCCGCCCACTCCTCGCCAAGGTGAAGCAAAAGTCTCCACAGCGCAAACACGAGGTTCATCATATGCTCGGCCGCTGATGGGAGATTCCTCTGTTGAAGCATTGCCTATCTATCAGCAAATCCTGGCCGAATAGAAGTGGCGGTGCGATATAGTGCGCCAGCGGCGACCAAAAGAGGGAGAAATTCATCAAGACTCGAGAACTGGAACCCGTTTGATTCATTACTCTTCGAAACGGGGTTTACGAATTTGAGGAAATGACTGTTTGGGTAGAGTAAGCGCGATAGGACATACACCCGGACAAAGATTACAAGATGCCGCTGTCGATACAAAACGAGCTTAACGAAAGATAACGATAATACCAAACAGTATCGGAAAACGCCAACTCTGGATAGGTCTGGTGAGAGGGGGGAGGGGGGAGCGGGGTTGTGGTTTTCATATTTGAAGTATTTTTTGCTCCTCAGTATTCAGTAATGTTCCTCAGCCAGCATATCTTTCGCTGTACACTCTCACTTCCTTTGCGTCTAGCCACATCTTCCAGCGAAGCATATTCTTCCCCGGTGCGCATCTGCTTTGTTCTACCCCGAGTCCTTCGTATAGAATAGGAGTGGGTAATTCAATTGGTGCATTGGTTTTTCTAATCTACAATAGAATCGAAGGCATCACGAAATCTTTAGGAAAAAAAATGTGAGTAAAAAAACAGGTAGTTGTAAAAATCATACATTTCTTGCCTTACGACCATTTGAAGTGGAATCGGCAAGAATGTCGTGTCGAGATTTCTTATCGTTTAGAGGTTGAGCGCAGTTGGTGGAACTTCTCAAACTTATCAACGCAGATCGGAAAGGCTCTATGACGTAGCCTATTGTGGAGGATTGCAAACACTGAGCCTGCCAGGAACGGTAACCGGTAAGTTATCAGGAGGTAGTCCCAATGTTTTTCGAATTATTCAAATTCCAGGAACGGACAAATGTGACACAATTTATTCCACAATGTCACATCAGCTTTTGAAACGAGTTGAGACGAGAAATGGTGCTACTGTGAAAAAACGAAAACGCATACTGGCAGAAGGTGAGAGTGGCTATATCTCACCTCAAGCTCAAACAGATCATCTGCTAGTAAAGAATGACTTCCTCGAGTTCCTTGAAAGTGTCAATTTTGGCGAGATCGATGTGACGGAAGTACTCGAAAAGCACGAGAGTCTAATGCGGCGCAGTGGGTATCCGTACGCAACGCCGTTCACGCCTAATCCAATGAGCACATCCCCATGTGTGTGAGTGATGGTATCCCGAAGACGAAAATGGAGGTTCTGCACAACATTTCTTTTCACTTCTTTCCCAGTTTTTTTATAAAAAAAATCTATCATGACTATTGTAGTTACAATAATACAGCCTGCCGAAGGGGGAGGGGCATTTGCTAAAAGTCTGTTAGACCATCTTCTGAATCAGGTCAATATGCCCACCCATCTGCAGGTGTTGAGCTCAAGTTTTTCAAAAAATTACATGTGAGACTGTTCCAGTTATTGCATACCAGGTCGTTACGCAGTCATTTTCAGAGGGTTGGGAACAAGCCGTTCGTTGTCTTCAAATCACCTCGCTGAACAGTCCTGCTCCAATCCCGATCTTCGGGAATCGTCAAATTATAATTACCTCGGTTATCAAAGATATAATAGAGAACGACAGAGCGGATTCAGGTATAAACTCATGCGTTTTCTGGGATTTCTGGACCACATTTCAATTCTCCAACTTTATTCTCCCCTTTCTTGAAGTTTCTTATATAACTTCCGTGCACTTGCTTCTGAGCGTCCCGCAGTTCTATACCAACTTAGCTGGGCTGAAAGTTCCCAGCTACCCGAGTACTGGATCGTAACATGCAAGATCAGGCATACAGCGCTGTTCGGTCGTTTTGGGATGCGCCACGCTTTTTTATGCATCAACTATTTATAAATCATTGCAGCGTTTGAGTTGAATAAAACATATAATGTACTTGACAATATTAGACACTCTATGCACCATAAGTTTTATTTTTCGGCTTTCGGCAAAACGATCCCAGATGGATCGGAAGCGTGGTGGGTCTGAGAAGGATACAATCAGGGGACACCGAGAGCAGGGACACCTGTCCGTTGTGGTCCTCCCAGCAGAAGTCGTATTTGGAATTCACGGCGTCAGCCATCCGTCCGGCCAATTCGAGGGGGTTCTATTTGGCGGGTGGTAGTACTTGTGTGAGAGAGGCAGGCTTGGAGGGAGGCAACTTCTGCTCAATATTCTTGAAAAAATGTGTGAAATTGGTGCACTCACAAGTTATACCGTTTCAGTCAATATGTATCCCCTCCCCCCTCTCCTAGCGACGACTAGATGGCAGTATAAGCTGTGGGAAGAATTGGAGTGTGTCATCTAGTATCGGGATCAAATGGAATCAGCAACACTATGCATACAGTCGTGGTGAGGATGATGGTGGTGATGTCGGGGGAGGGGAGGGGTGGTTGAGCGGTCGTATGGGAGACTCCCGGAAAGAACGGACGCAAAATTTTCAAATTTGTAACCGTCTCACAATTAGGCTTGATGACGCCACTCCTCTGCCGTTTAGATCGTGTTCTTCGTTAGTCCTTTTCCGATCCGCTTCTACCTCGCATTCGAAAACGGAATTTCAGTCAATCGCCAACCATCTCAATCTCAAAATTGAACCTCTCGGTCGACATACGAAAGAGCTGGGAGCGTGTTATGCTGAGAATGCCCAGACGTCGATATTTGGTAGGCTTCACTTCAACTCGGAAAACTTTGTTTCGTCATTCTGATCTTTCAGTTACGCGATATTTGCTTCAATTTGAATGGAGGAGATATCATGGGTGTCATGTACGCCTCCGGTCAGTGGAAAAGCTTACCCTTTTTTGGCTTACTTGTTGAATCTGAATCAGTCAAAATATTTACTAGCTCCACAAGAGCTATTAATAGTGACTGGGACACGAAAAGGAAGTTAGAGGAAATGCGGAACAAACTGCGACTGCTGGCGGTGATGGCGTCCCTGATGGGACTGTGCTGCTGCCGCGTTTTGCTGGGACACAGCGCGACGACGCGTTTTTTTTCAGATAGGTGTCACCTTCTCCAGGCTCTTAGAAAGGCGAACCGCCTAACAAAATTTACTGGAAATATTGTTTGAAAGCTTAGTAACTAAATACTCTGTCTGTCGTATATGTAGCTGTTAGTGTTTGCAACTGATCACGCGATTCCCTAGCGATTCAAGAGTTTAGAGCAATGCGCTAGCGGCTAGACGCTGGCACACGCTGTCATCGCTGGGGCCGCTGGTGCACAGTGCGAATTGTTCAACTCGCTAGTGAATCGCGCGATGGTAGCGATACTGTGACCACCTACCTGAACGGATGCGCTGAAAAAACGTTGATCTTGCCGGCACCCACTAGTGAGGGCCTGATACAGACGCATGCCCAGACGAATTATGCACACGTATAACATAGGCCGAATAAAATATAAGAGCCGTCATTGTATCTCCCGCTGACTTATGAACACACTCGCGTGCGCGAATGTGAGCCGCTATGTCACCATTAGAATACAGTGGCTATATGTACACAGTAATCCCATGGTGCATCGCTCCTGATTCCCTCCCACCTTGCTGTTCTTGGCTCGCAGGTGGGTACAACGGGACGAATCGCCGGCGTGGCGGTTTTGGAATTGGGGAGAGTAGGCAGTCGGACAGAGAAGCTTGCTCTCAGCGAAGAGTTGGCGCCCTATGAGGGCTTTCACTCGCAACGTTCGTGACAGTTCCCGCCCTCCCAGTGCCTACGCCCTCGCCGTCTGATTCTGGCCGATAAACTAGCCGTTTATCAGGGACAGAGATGATGATGACTTTAGCACCATGAGACTCGCCACAATGCGGAACTCAACGGGCAAAGGGTTTTCTTGTTAAAAGTGAGAGCTTTGTTGTGTAGTTGTAAGGCCTACAAAAACTCGTGTAATTTTAAGTATACTCGTTCATGATGTGGTTAGTTTCGATGTTTCGTGCTAACGGAGAATTTAGAAATGGAGGCTCAAGCTCTCCTCGATGTCATTTGTGGTGATTCCGCTTCATATGGTCGAGTAACGGGGCGAGTTTTTCATCAATGGTCATCGGCTCAAGCCACGACAATTTGTTGCTTTCAGAAATGTTTATTATTATAATTGCTAGCACTTTTCGATTCAGCTGAGACGCATCGACCCGCTTATAAGCCGATACTCTTAACCGAAAACGCCAAAACACGAGTTTAGCATTTGGACATCTTAATAAATATTATGAGAAATGGTCTAGAATTAAGTAATGACATATACAGATCCGACCCAATCTACGGATATCAGGGTGAGTAATACACGAAAACTATACAGCTAAAACGAGACATTGACAGACAACGCAATTCACATATTATGTCTGACGGTTACGTCGAACCGAACATCGAGCAAGCGGAGCGAATGCTGGCTGATTTCGACTGCGCCTGTGGTAAGGTCGGTCTACAGCTGAACCTAACGAAGACGATGTTTATGAGAAACGGATTGGTTCCTGATGCCCCATTCACGCTCAACGGAACGAACATCACCGAATGCTCCAGCTACGTGTACCTAGGTCGGGAAATCAATATGATGAACGATCTAGCTCCAGAGCTGAGCAGGAGGAAACGAGCGGCTTGGGGAGCGTACAAGAACATCGAGGGAGTAGTGAAGAAGACGAAGAACATCCGGCTCCGTGCCCACCTCTTCGATTCCGCTGTCCTTCCTGCCCTAACCTACGCCTCAGAGACTTGGACTCTGCGCAGGCAGGACGAGCATGCGGTCAGCGTTATCCAACGCGCTGTCGAGAGGACGATGCTAGGAGTAACCCTATACACGCAAGTGCAGAGGGGAATCCGGAGTGCCGAACTACGCCAACGATCGAAGATCAGGGACGCTGCCGTTTTCGCCAAGGAATCGAAGATAAGGTGGGCCGGACACGTCATGCGATTTTGCGATGACCGTTGGACCAGAGCGGTTACCGACTGGATCCCTCGGGACGTCAAACGAACACCTGGACGACCGCCGGCCCGATGGTCAGACTTCTTCACGAAAGCTCTGAACGAAAGGAATGAAGGACACCGTGTCCCTCGAGCGAGGAGGGTCCACTGGACAACTCTTGCACGCGACAGGGACGAATGGAGACGTTGCTGGCGCCCGCTCGAGCAATTCGATGATCAACGGGACGACAGGTGATACAGGTGATAAATACTCGTGAAATTCATCGTAATAACTTCGTATAGCAAGGAGTCTTTCTGCGCTTAGAGGGCGTCATCTTGATAGGATTTTGGTGCTCCAAACCTACAAATTGTTTCGGCTTAATTTTGAACATGAAAGCGGCGGTTCTTGTTTACGTATTGTGGCCATCCAGCCCTTTGTGGAAGGGAGCGCAGGTGATATCTGGTCTGGATTAGAGCTTGTGTGAGACGTACCACGCTTTAATCGATGCCGCAACTCGAAGTAATATCCGAAATGTTTGATGACTGGAAAACTATTCAGTACACCAATAACTTTCCCTTCAAATCTCCATAGAGGATTGATCCCCATATCGCCATTTTCCGAGGAGAGCAGCTGAATGAATGCCCTTCATCTAACCGTTCAGCACACGTGACGTCGGATTCCCTTCCGCAGACGCTTACCGTGGTCGAATACTTGCGAATCAGTGCTTTACTTCATCCGCCAGCTACTCGCGCTTTCAAGATCGAAAACATGGTTTGTGTGCAGGATTATGGTAAAATTATCCTTCAACTTGAATTAACGGCTGTTCTTCTAGATCGACCAGTTGATGGCGACTTTGGCACTGGCGCATCAACGACATACGCTCTGTTCTCGCCTCAAAAAATCTGAATTGGTCCGCTTGAAAATAGCGGCGCAACTTCTCAAAGACACAGGTGGGTTATTAGAATCACATTTAAAAACATTTCAGGGGTCATTTTTGCCAATTTTTCGAAGATACTCTAATAAAGGTGCATGAAACTGTTTCACTACTATAAGAGACCAGGATCGAAAACGTGGAACAGATCTCAAAAAAACTACCTGACCAACTACAGTAGAGTGCGTAAAATTTGTCGATTCGTGTAGGAAAGAACGGCGACCTGTTAAAAGCCTAGTTTGGGATCAGGCGCGTTCATCTGTTTCATCCCCGATCGTGCTATACATACAAACGTTGAAGTCCTGCCCCCATTGTGACTTGAAAGTGCGCGACAAAGGCGCCAGAAGTTCTCTCAACCAGCAAGCTTCTTCTTCGGCTGCCATGCTGACGCCACGAGTCGATGTCACTGGCACTGGGGCTGGTGGAACTAGCCGTTTGTGAAACTCGTCCTAACACGCCCCTTCTCCATCCCAAGGAGGAATATGTCTCAAAGAAAGGGGCCTTTTATGGGGCGTTCTTGGGGTTTTTTCTGCTTTCTTTTCTTTTTTCACGCAACTTCCCGTCTCCATCTTCATTATTCGACGATCTCACACACCGATTTTATTTCGAGCCTTGCCTTTAATAGTTTGACCTTGTACCAGGGTTAACCGTCCGATATGCCGGTTTCAAAATACGACGCCTTCCCATTTCAGGAGGTTTCTACACAACCCCCCCCCCCCGTGTAAATGCCATGCCTCAATCAATTTCGAAGCCACATGACGCGGTGTGGTTGACCGCAACGTTTGAGATCCTCCAGCCTTTTAAAAAGGATATTCCTTCGATGTAACAATACTGCCGGGAAGACGTAACCAGGGTCAACCGTCCGTTGGACAAAGTCCAACGAGGGGAGTCGTTCGGCCGACGAAAAGGGGGGGGTCGTATTCGCAAGGTCGGAGGCAGCGTCAATCCTACACCAACGGGGGTAGTGTGACGCTTTACGCTTTGTGAGTGCTAAGAAAAAAATTTGCCGTACCCCCCCTCCCCGCTCGACGGCTAGCTATTTTGGAGGAAATGTGGGTGGAGTTGGGCTGTGTCAACTGGTCTCAGAATCAAATACTATAGTAACAGCTGGGGGGTCGTATCGAGGCCCTCCAGAAGGGGGGGGGTCGTAAAATTTTGAAATTTGTCCAACGTGACGGTTGACCCTGGACGTAACTCGCTGGAATAAACGCAACGATTCGTACATGGGCTGGTCTCAGATGCCATTGTGTAAGCAACATCGCTATCAAGTCATGTTACTATCCTGATTGGATTGAATATGCGTGGTAGATTTGCTGAGTAAACAACCCCGATTCTCATCCTTTTATACTTTTGACAATACCGCCGGACCGCCTCAACTTGAATTTTCATTTCAGATGTTCTGATTTGTGACAGTGTGACGAAGTGCATGGATATTTATGAACTAGCTTTCGTCATAGACTATCTTCGTGACTGGGCAATCAAACTCAACAGAATTGTCATCCTGGCCGTCGCTCCTCCTTCCATCGAAATCTTGCTGATGTTCTCACAATGTGCGGGTTTGCCACAAGCAAATAGAATGTAAATTATTATTTGCACAAGAGTTTCGAGGTAAACATATTTCCAGGTGCTCTGCTAACTTCCGGTCAAGATAGTTTATTCTGGGTGCCCTACCAAAATGATGCAGTATTTCGAGTCAATCGATTTTCCGTGTCCGAAATTCAAAATCCCT